AGATGTGGCTATGGGCACTTTCTCAGGGTTGGATGATAGGGCAGGTGCATCCGCTAACAAGGCAGACTCTCAGTCGTGTTCAGCTGGTTCTGGTTGGCTGAGAGTTGTAGGCTTGATGTTTCTGGCTGGTACCCAAATGGGCTGTCCCGCATGCTCTGGAAAGACACAAGCATATCCTTGGCCCTAGGTTAGCAGAAGCCTTTTTACAGGCGCTGGAATCCAGGGCCTGAATTCTGTGTTCACTTCGAGATTAACGGCAAACATGTGGGTGGGATGGGGTCTAGCAGCTGTCCTGAGAGCCTGGGTGCCTGGGGACTGCCACAAACGTGGGGATCCTCACTGGGTGCGGATGGGATGACCTCGCATGGGTTATTGCTTCGAGGTCGTCTAAGTTCAGCCCATGGATATTTGGGGGTGGTTGTCTAGGGATTTCTGCATTGTTTGCTACATTGTCGTTTTCACTGTTGGAGCTCTCTCTCCCTAAGTTTCAGCTGTTGCCTGTGAGGCAGCAGCCTGGAGTGACAGGCTCTTATCACTCACAGACTCACTATATTTCTCCTGTGCTTACTGGGGGACATCCTTGATTCATTAGGTCAAGGCCGTATGCCCACATGGTGTCTGCGCAGCGTCACCTCTCTCGAGTGAGGGACAATGACATGCTTCCGAATTCTGGCATGATCAGTCCTTATGTGAATTCGCCGGGCGAACCAACAGTAAAAGGAGGAGCTGAGAAGCGGCATTAGGCTTCTGGGTGGTGTGTGCCTGCCTAACCTGGGGTGACTTAGACCGAGGACAAGGACAAGGAAAGGGGCATAGGAGGGGGTCCACAGGAACACCTGTCCTATTTTATACACGAAAGTGTTCAGCCTGATTCTAGAATCACAGACAAAAGCCAGTTAGCATCTTTTCGATTAAACTTGTTGTATTTAGTCTTTGACAGGTGAAGGAGGCTCAGTCCCACCATGGGGTCTGGATTGCACCAAGACTCGAAAAGAGGGCAAAGGCTGCTTTGTCACTTTCAGGGCCACACAGGAGGGGAGGAGACAGCAAGGACCCAGTGACATGGAAGCCATGGCCTCCCAGTTCTGCTGTCACTTTTGCAAAGTCCTGAGAAGAACTCCCTGGAACTCCTTGTCACACGTGACAAGATCAGGTTGCTCTGAGCTAGGTAGCTCCGCTGCCCTCTTGGTTGAAACACAACCTGTGTTGCTGGTCAATAAGAGATAGCTGTGTCATTGGCTCAAAGGAGGCAGGAGCATGTGACAGTTCCAAGCTGCTTCCCCCATGGTGTGGGGGTGCAGGGGGCATTTTATAGATGATGCAGCAGACAGCTGGTGTGTGGAGATGCAGGTTGGGCAAGTTCTCATTGGGGGAACTTGGAAACAGGCCAGCATGGCACTGGCTCCTGCATACAGCTGCTTTGCCAAGCAAAACGCTGAAAAGGCAGAAGACCTTTGGACTTCCATAGCCTGTAGCACTGGGGCTGGGTGAAGTTTAAGGCAACTCCTTGACATTTTAAGGGGCAGTAGGCCGGGCCCCTGGGTTAAATGGAAAACGGGGGCAGAGGTTCGGGGCAACAGATTAAGCCACCGCTTGGGATGCCTGCATCCCACATCAGAGTTCCCGGTTGGACTCCCAGCTGCTCCACTTCCACTCCAGCTCCCCTAATGCATCCTGGGAGGCAGCATATGATGTACAAGTGCCCTGGCCCTGCTGCTCATGTGGGAGCCCCAGATAGAGTCCCTGGCTTGTGGCTTCAGCCTGGCCTAGGCCTGGCTGTGTGGGCACGTGGAGAGCGAAACCGTGGATGGAAGATCCCCATCTCTCTCTCTCTCCCTGTCACTCTACCTTTCAAGGAGAAGAAAATGATAAACACGTTTTTAAATTGCCAAAGAGAGGACCGGCATTGTGGCACAGCGGGTTAAACTGCCTACCTGCTACACCAGCATCCTATAAATTTTTTTATTTAATTTTTTACTTTTATTATTATTAGAGAAAGATTTTATTTAATAAATATAAATTTCAAAAGTAGAACTTTTGGATTCTAGCAGTGCATTCTGTAAGTTGAAGTGCTGGTCGAGTCCTAGCTACCTGCTTCCCATCTAATTCCCTTGAACACCCCTCAGAAGGTAGCAGACAAGGTAACAAATATTTGGGACCCTTTCACCATGTCCAAGACCCTAAGAGAGAAGCCTGGCTCCTGGCTCCTGGCTTTGGGCTGTCCCATCCTCAATGTGGACATATATTTATGTATTATTTGAAAGAGTGGCAGAGAGAAAAGGGAGAAAGAGAGAAAGATCTTCCATTCCTGGCTTCACTTCCCAGATGACCACAACGGACAGGCCTGGACCAGGCCAAAGCCAGGATCCAGGAGCTTCATCCGGGTCTCCCACATGGGAGCTGGGGTCCAAGCACTTGGGCCATTCTCTGCCTCTTTCCCAGACGCATTAGTAGGGAGCTGGGTTGGAAGTGGAGCAGCCGGGACACGAACTGGTGCCCATACACGGGGTGCTGGCATTGTCGCCAGCAGCTTTACCCACAACGCCACAAAACCGCCCCCTAAATAAATAGTGTTACAAATTCCAGTGTGAATTGATCGACAGGTGGAGCATGGTGTTCCACCGCCTTCCCGCTCTGCGCTGGTGCTTCAGTCACTACATAGGGCAAATGTGGACTCCTGGAAAGGACCGGGCGGGGCCCTGGGACCCCTTCAGGGCCTCTGTCTTAAGGGTCCTGGGAGTTTCCTGCAGGCATCAAGGGAGAGAATCAGCAGAGAAAGGCAGACAGAGGACAAGGGACATGGCCAAGCCAAGTGGCTGGGTGAGGTGACATTCCGTCAAAGGTTACCTGAAGGCCAAGGAGAAGAAAGGAGACACCTTGGCGTTCCTGGCCCGGGTGCACCTGCGCTCCCGGAAGTGCACCACCCTGTTTCAGGCTCTGGAGGGCGGGGCTCCCTTTACCCTCTGGGCTGAGCCCCCAGTGCCAGATGGTGAGCCAGCTGGAGGGGAGGGAGTGGGATGCCCTGAGCGACGGGTCAGGAGCCACTGATAAGCGATGCTAGTTACTCCAGACCCTCCCTGGCCTCCACGCTTCTGTCTTCTTGGAAGACCTGCTGACTCAGAGGGGTCACAGGGGCCAGTCCTGGAGACGCCAGACAACAGGACTCTGGACTTGAGGTGGCCGAAAGATCCACCCTCAGAGGGCCCAACGAGTCTGACACCCACTCTGAAGTCTCAGACCCGAGGGTGGGGGAGGGCTCCAGGACCTTTCTGCCATGGTGTCTGAGAGTCTGGGACAGGGGCCCAGCCCCACCCTGCCCCAAGGAGGACCTGCACCCCCTCAGCCCCTCAGCTTCCCTCATGCTCCCTGGAAGGACATCTCTTGGGAGGGGGGCAACTTGCAGCCCAAGTCACCCTTCTCAGAGACAGATGGTTTGAGAAGGGGCTGGCAGGTTGAGGCTAGCTGGCTGGCTAGACTTGCTAATGTACAAGATAGTCCCCATGATGTGATAGAATCCATAAAGTGGTATATGGTTGTACGGGCGTTTGCCATGCCATTCTTTAAACTTTACTGCCTGCTTGTTTTTCAGTTTTTTTTTTTTCTTTTTTTTTTGTATCAAAATATCAGAAAAGAGGGGGAAAAATTCTTTTTTTAAGATTTACTTATTTATTTGAAGGTCAGAGTTACACAGACAGAGAAGAGGCAGAGAGAGTGAAAGAGAGAGAGAGAGAGAGAGAGAGAGAGAGAGAGAGAGAGGTCTTCCATGTGCTGGTTCTCTCCCCAGATGGGGGAACTTCCATAGCGATCCTTCAGATCGGCTCAGTTCTGGCCATTGTGACCATGTGGGGAGTCAACCAGTGGATGAAGACCTCGCTCTCTCTCTCTCTCCCTTGCCACACTGAATAAATAAAATAAGTTAATCGAAAGCTGTGGTGACCATGTCTCAAGCTGTCATGCCCTCCTGGGCTCTGGCACTCAGCCGAGTGGACCCCACCTTGTCATCCCTAAGCTTTCCGGGAGGGACAGACCCTGCCCAACACCTGATCGCAAGAGGTTGACCTTGTTTGCTCAGGAGGTGAGGTTCCCTTGATAAAGAGCAGGAGGGAGGGCTTGGAGCTGGTATAAAAGTTCTGGAAGGTTCTTAGGGGTTACCTTGCACCTGAAGCTCCCAGGTGAGAGGTGTTAGGGATTCCTGGGTCTGCCTTTGAGGGGGTGGGGATTCAGATCTGATCTGGTCTGGGGAAGGGGATGCCTGGATTGAGTGGCAGGGAGTGTTAGTGAAGTGGGCACCTGGGTTGAAGCTATCTTGGTGCAGAGATGTGTCAGCTGTCAGTTGAAGGACTAGGAACCTGGGACACTCAGGTGACTGGGAAAGGCCAGGCGTGTGTCGGTGGACAAAGAATCGTGACAAAGATCCCATCTGCTGGTTCACTCCCCCACATGGCCACAATGGCCAGAGCTGGGCCAATCTGAGCTAGGAGCCTGGAGCTTCTTCCAGGTCTCCCAAGGGGGTGTAGAGTCCCAAGTGCTTGGGCCATCTTCCACCGCCTTCCCAGGGCACTAGCAGAGAGCTGGATCGGAAGTGGAGCAGACGGGACTTGAACCGGTGCCCATATGGGATGGTGGCTCCAGGGGCGGAGGACTCACCTACTGCACTCCAGCGGCCAGCTTGTCAGTGTTGGCTCTGATGCTGGGTACAGGAAATTCAGCCGTCTCCAGGCTGAGGCCTATCCTCCAGTCCTAATTCAGAAAGTCCCCGTCCTGGCTGTGTCAGGACACAGCCCACACCAAGAGTGAGCGCTGACCTTCTGCTTGGAGGGGAAAAGGAGGGCGTGGCTACAGCCAGACCAAGGGCGGGCCAGAGACAGTTGGACCCTGGAACATCAGGTCTGGAGGATGCACTGCAGGCTGTGGACAGTGCTGTGCACCTTGAGCCTGGGTCTGGCTAGGTGGGAGCTGAAGGGTCAGGCCACCTGGAAACCAGAGGGAAAGGGGGAAACCTCCCCCTCTGCTCTCTTCTTCCCCCCTGCAGCCTCACGATGTGGACCTTCATGCTCCTGGGCCTTCTCTGTGCCTCGGCCTCTGCCAGTGCCAGTAAGTGAGCCGCTGGGACTCTGGTGGCGGGTGGCGGGAAGGGTCCCCTGCTTGGCTGGTGGCCAAGGCTTGCAGGGCTGACCCTGTGCAGTGGGAACTGGGAGGTCCTTGCCTCCAAGCCCCCCTTTCTTTCCACTGCAGTCCAGGCCAGGTCCTCCTCCTACAATGGCGAGTACGGAAGTGGAGGAGGAGAGCGATTCTCCCACTCCGGCCTCCAGCTGGAAGGCCCCATCACAGCCATCCGTGTCCGGGTCAACAGCCTCTATATCGTGGGGTAAGGCTCTTCCGCGTTCCTCCAAGGTCTTAGAACTCAGGAAGTGCTCTTTCACTCTGGACCACCTGTGGCTCAACCTGTTGGTCCCTAGTGAGGCAGGATATGGGGATAGCTGTGAGAGGATTCGGCTTCTAGATCTGTGCCCTTTGAACTCCTCCTTTCCCGAATGTGCCTGATGGTGGCAAATCGTTAATAACCACTAACTCTCAGGGGCCTGGAAGTCGACCAGCCCAGCCCACCCGCCTTCTGCGGGTTAAAGTTTCTTTCCAATATCCCTGCTGGGTGCCCTGCAACTTTGCTCAACGCCTCTCTTGAGCAGTCCCCACTCCATTGCTAGTCGGAAAATTCTATCACGTGCAGAGCCTAAGTGTGTCCGCTAATGCTGGATCTGCCTCCTGGGACAGCAGGGACAAGCCTCTTCCCTCTCCCACAAGGGAGCCACTCAGCTGTTAGAAAATCCCTTTGCTTCCACAAGTGCGGGAATGGGGGAGGGGCATCGTAGGAGGCTGGACTCCAAATTCAAGGCCTGCCATGTGCTGTGTGTGGGCGACTCTGGGCAAGCTGCCTTCCTTCTCTGCACCTGCTGTCAGCCAGGCCAGGAGCTGAAGTTCTTTGTGTGGTCCTCCAGGGCTCACCCGGGCTACACTTTTGGGGGAACTAGCAGGGACTGCTCATGCTAGTGTCCAGTTTGGAGGACTCCACGTGCAGGCCAAACGGTCCTGAACTCTGATGACCTAATCAGTGTCCCCGTTCCTGCCCTCCCACCCGTCCCCAGTCTCCAGGTGCGCTATGGCAAGGTGTGGAGCGACTACGTGGGTGGCAAGCTGGGAGACCTGGAGGAGATCTTTCTGCACCCAGGGGAGTCGGTGATCCAGGTGTCTGGGAAGTACAAGTACTATCTGAGGAAGCTGGTCTTTGTGACCGACAAGGGTCGCTACCTGTCCTTTGGGAAAGACACAGGCACGAGCTTCAACGCTGTCCCCTTGCACCCAAACACCGTGCTCCGATTCATCAGTGGCCGAGCTGGCTTATTCGTCAACGCCATTGGCCTGCACTGGGACAACTACCCCAGCAACTACCCAAGCTACTAACCCAGCAACTGCTGAGCCCGCCTCCTCCATGGCAGGGCTCCATGGTGGGGTGTGACAACTCCCTGATCACTATTCCCATACAAATGGCTCAATAAAAGGACATGGCTAAAGCTGGTGTGCATGTGGGTGTGTGCAGGCGGGACCCACTCTTGGAGGGCGGTGTGACTCTCAGCTCTGGCTACCTGCTGCTAAGAGTGGGAGCACGAGGGAGACAGGTGTTGAGAATCCTGGGCTCTTCCGTACGTCGCAAGGAGAGGAGACGCTGGTTTGTACCAACTCTTTTCGGGGTTAGCTCTTGAGAATGTCTGTCCAAACAGGAGTTCTGAAGGGAAGGCTCAGCGGGGGCACACCGCCGAGCCCCAGGTGTGCCTCTCTGGCGCCCTCCCCCCTGAGAAGGGGCTGGCTTCTCTGACCCAAGGCTGCCCCTCTCCCTGGAGCTCAGCTGCAGGTGGGTGGCCTGCACCTCTGTCCTCCCATCTGTCCCAGATCCGATCTCCCTGCTGAAGTTTCGCCCAAGTTTGTGCTTAAGGACTCCACCCCATTCCCCAGGCCAGTTCTTCCTCGTCTTTACCCCTAACCTGGTGCTCTTGCTTAGCCCTCTCGGAACTGGCGCTCAGGCAGATGAGAAGCCCGTGGCTGAGACACACCCATGTCCCGTATTAGAGCGAGTGGGTTTCATTCCTGACTCCACCTTCCTGCTGACGTGGCTCCTGGGAGGCAGCAGGGACGGTTCAGGATGGTTCAAGTGCCACCTACACGGGAGCGCCGGTTGAGTTCTCCTCCAGCTTCTGCCCCCACTCCCACCTCTCTAACAAACAGAAAATAAAAACGAGGACGGTGCCGTCGCTCAATAGGCAAATGCTCCGCTTATGGCGCCGGCACACCGAGTTCTAGTCCCGGTCGGGGCGCCGGATTCTATACCGGTTGCCCCTCTTCCAGGCCAGCTCTCTTCTGTGGCCAGGGAGTGCAGTGGAGGATGATCCAAGACCTTGGGCCCTGCACTCCATGGGAGACCAGGGGAAGCAACCGACTCCTACCTTCAGATCAGTGCAGTGCGCTGGCTGTAGCGCCCCGGCCTCGGCTGCCATTTGAGGGTGAACCAATGGCGAAGGAAGACCTTTCTCTGTCTCACTCCCTCACTGTCCACTGTGCCTGTCAAAATAAAAAATAGAATTAAAAAAAAAAATCGGTGAGTCTTTCCTTGGGACCCACCATTTCAACAGTGTGAACTTGGCCAACAGCACAGCCAAGTGGAAATTCTGGGGCAGGCACTTAATATGGTGGTTAAGTTGCCACTAGGGGCTGCGTCCCATATCTGAGTTCCTGAGTTCAAGGCCTGGCTCTACTTTCGTTTTTTAAGACTTTTTCAAAAAATGTATTTATCTGAGAGTTACAGAGAGGCAGAGGCAGAGAGTGAGAGAGAGAGAAAGATGTCTTCCATCTGCTGGTTCACTCCCAGATGACTGCAATGGCCGGACCTGGGCCGATCTGAAGCCAGGAGAAAGGAGCTTCTTCTGGGTCTCCCACGTGGATACAGGGACCCAATGACTTGGAGCATCTTCTACTGCTTTCCCAGGCCATAGCAGAGAGCTGGATCACAAGTGGAGCAGCCGGGACTCCAACCGGTGCCCATACAAAATGCCGGTGCTGCAGGCTGCAGCTTTACCCACTACTCCACAGCCTGGCTAAACTTTTGAGTCCAGCTTCCTGTTAATGCCAACCAAGTGGGAGGCCTGCATTGAGTTCTGGGCTCCTGGCTTCAGTCTGGCCCAGCCTGCCTGCCGCGGGCATTTAGGGAGTGAACCAATGGATGGGACATCTCTGTCTGCCTTTCATAGAGCATGAAAATAGATTTTTTTTTTTTTTTACAAACATTAAGCCATTAGAGACATTTTCATCTTTGATTGCCCCAAGTACAAGGGGTTAGTTAGAATTCAGGGGAAGCATTAGGATGGCTGGATAGAGTCAGTGAGGACACAAAGTGGCTTTGGGAAGAATTTCCAGGACTCTAAAATACTGGCAGTTTTTGGTTTTGGTGGTAGTGGTGGGCAGTAACATATTGCTTCCCATAGATTTCTTTGTGTCATAGGGAATGTCAAAGACATAATTCTTCCCAAATAGACAAAGAGAAGCTATAGACACGTAATTTTGTTAGAAAAAATTTTAAAAACCCCAAGCACTATAAAAAGAAGCCCACAACTAGCATGTTTTTATAACAATTCCTTGGGTGCCAGATGTTGCTGTGGATCCATTCTGAGAGGAGGATGGTGGTGGGGGCAAGAGGCGTGGAGTCACCACACAGACCTCAGGTGTGGGTGAAAGCAGGCCAGATGCGAGCAGCTGGAAGACTCATTTATTTCAGTTGGTAGAGAAGCTTATAGAGCCAAGGCAGCCAATCTGGTCAAGGGGTGGTCTATGCCCTAACCAATCACAGCCTGTTGCCAGGCAGTTTCCAAAGCCATCCAATCACAGCGTGTTGCCAGGCAGTTTCCGTTGCCTGTGGCCATCTTGGCATGGCCTTCTCATTCCACCACAAATTCCATCACAGAATATTATGCCATTGGAATTCTTTTTGAGCTATAAATATCATAGATCTTACCCTTTTCAAGTGTGCAAGTGATTTTTAGTATATTTATAAGGTTTGTACATCCAGCATCGCATATTCCAGAATACCTAAGTAAAACAAACCAACAAACAAACAAACAAACAAAAATACACGAGGCCATGAGTTCTCTCCCCAGCCTCCCTTTAGCCCAGCAGAGTCATGTTCTCATGTGTGAACCTGAGGAAGAATTAAGTCAGGCTGATAACAAAGCCATTGCCTTACATACTCATTTGTGGTGAAAACATTTACGATCTACTTTTAGCAATTCTGATGAAAGTCACCATTCCATGTGATCTATTGATCACTAAAGGCTGCTTCTTCCTTTCACCTGAAACTTTGTATGCTCTGATCAACATCTTGCCTCTCTCCATCCAGTGTTCTGCCAAGCCTCTCATGACTACAACTTTGTTTGTTTTTTTGTGTTTTTTTTTTTTTTGTAAAGATTATTTATTTGAAAGGCAGAATGACAGAGAGAGGGAGAGACAGAGAGAGATCTTCCATCCACTGATTTACATCCCATACAGCTGCAATTGCTGGGGCTGGTCCAGGCTGTAATCAGGAGCCTAGAATCTCATCTAGGCCTCCCACGTGGGTAGCAGGGACCCAAGCAGTTAGGCCACCCTCCACTGCTTCCCCAGGTGCATCAGCAGGAAGCTGGATCAGAACTGGAGCAGCTGGGACTCAGATCAGCCTCTGATACGGGAAACCGCTTAGCCCACTGTGTCATTACTCTGGCCCCTGCTGACGGCCACCCTGCTCTCAAATTCTGAGTTGGTATTTCTTAGATTCTACACGTAAGTGGGATATGGTATGTATTTGTCTCTCTGTGCCTGATTTCCCTTAGCATAATGCCCTTCAGGTTCACCCCTAGATTTACAAAGGACAGGGTTTGGGAATGCAGCTGACTCATAGGTCATCAGCACATAAATAGTGAAGTTCAAGTGCTACAGTGAAGTTCATGTGCTGGGTGTGGAAGAAGCCATTCAGGAAAGCAACAGGTATAGAAAAGGAGAAAGGCAGGAGTAAGCAAACTGGGAAACACCAGTGTTGGTTGGTACAAAGAGGAGGCAGTTACAGAACTATAGAAGGGAGGTTAATGTGGCACAGCAGGTTAAGACACCACACTGCATCCCATACTGGAGTGCCCGTTGGAGACCTGGCTACACTCCTTCTGGTCCAGCTCCCTGCCTCTGATAATGGCTCAAGTGATTGAGTTCCTGCTACCCACCTGGATGGAGCTCCTGGCTCCTGGCTTTATGCAGGCCCAGCCCCAGCTGTTGTAGGCATCTGGGGAGTGAACCAATGGACGGAAGATCTCTCCTATCTGTCTGCATTCAAATCAATAAATAAAGAAAAAAAGAACAAGAGAATGGAGTGGTATGGGAGGCAAGGAGAAGGCAAGAGAGAAATTCCAAGCAGTGGCTAAGGCCAGGAGAAATGGAGAAAAAGAAAGATCTCCGTTTCTTCCATGGTGGCCGTGAGGAGGTCATTCATTATCTTGACAAGCATAGCTTCAGTGGCCTGTAGGAACTGGCTGAAGCAGACTGCAATTTGCTAAGGAATGAATGGGAGGTGAGGATTCCCAGAGGTGAGGGCTATTTCAAGAAGTGTGTCTCTAGGAATACAAAAATGAGCTGGTAGTCATAGCTCTGGGGACTGTGATATTGCGGTGGATTCATTTTGAGAGTAGGAGTGTGGTAGTGGAAGAGGCATGGAGTCACCACACAGACCCCAGGTGTCAGGTGAAAGCAAGCCAGAGGTGAGCAGCCCACAGACTCGTTTACTTCAGTTGGTAGAGCAGCTTAAATAGCCAAAGCAGTCAATCGTGTCAAGGGGCGGTCTATGCCCTAACCAATCACAGCCTGTTGCTAGGCAGTTTCTGAAGCCATCCAATCACAGCCTGTTGTTAGTCAGGATCCATTGTCATGTTGTTTCCCGAAGCCATCCAATCATAGCCTGTTGCCAGGCAGTTTCTGTTGTCAGTGGCCATCTTGGCATGACCTTCTCTTTCCACCACATTTCTTCCTTTTTGTTTATTTTTGAGCAACGGGAGGCATGATTCTTGGCCAGACCATTGCTGACCCCATTTCCATGTGGTCTCCGCATGTGGCTGTGCCTATCTTAGGTTGTTTCCCAGAGGATCGTACCCATCGTTGACTAACCAGTGCTTAAAACCAGAGGCCACAGGAGTGCTTGCTCAGATAGGGATAGGAATGAAGAACAATGGTAATCAGGAATGGCGTGACTGCACACAGGCTGTGGGCCGTTTGAGTGGCTGACCAGAGCTAGTGGGGTATAAAGCAGTAGCAGATGTGGCTATGGGCACTTTCTCAGGGTTGGATGATAGGGCAGGTGCATCCGCTAACAAGGCAGACTCTCAGTCTTGTTCAGCTGGTTCTGGTTGGCTGAGAGTTGT